AGTAAAGTATTATAATGACATGTACAAAGAGCTGGAGATAGAAAAGCAAAAAGGAAGAACATGCTCAGCATTTCTCAAGCTGAAAGAACTGAAGAAAAAATTCAAGCCTTGAGTTGCAACAGTGAAGGATTCTATAGGGGAAAATATTAAACGACGCAGGAAGCATCAAAAGAAGATGGAAGGAATACACAAAGTCATTATACCAAAAAGAATATGTCAACATTCAACCATTTCAGGAGGCAGCATATGATCAAGAACCGATGGTACTGAAGTCAAAGTCCAAGCTGCATGGAAGGCACTGGCGAAAAACAAGGCTCCAGGAATTGATGGAATATCAATTGAGACGTTTCAACAAACAGACGCAGCACTGGAAGTGCTCACTCATCTATGCCAAGAAATTTGGAAGACAGCTACCTGGCCAACCGACTTGAAGAGATCCATATTTATGCCCATTCCCAAGAAAGGTGATCCAACTGAATGAGGAAATTATCGAACAATATCATTAATATCACACGCAAGTAAAATTTTGCTGAAGGTATATACTAGGTACTTAAATATATTATCTCTCATCCTTAAAATAACTTTATAAATTAGTAAATAATATTTACATTTTACATTGGGGAAAATAGGCTTGGAGATGCTAACTTGTCCAAAGGCACACAGTCAATGTTAGTGTCTGTCTTAGTTATCTAGTGCTGCTATAATGGAAATACCACAAGTGGATGGCTTTAACAAAGAGAAATTTATTCTCTCACAGTCTACGAGGCTAGAAGTCCCATTCAGGGTGCCAATTCCAGGGGAATGTTTTCTCTCTGTGTTGGATGTGAGGGAAGTCCTTGTCATCAACCTTCCCTAGTCAAGGAGCTTTTTCAGCACAAGGACCTTGAGTCCAAAGGATGTGCCATTTTCCTGGCCCTTGCTTCTTGGTAGTATGAGGTCCCTATGTCTCTCTACTCGCTTCTTTCCTTTATATTCCAAAAGAGATTGACTTAAAACAGAACCTAATCTTGTAGGTTGAGTCCTGCCTCATTAACATGACTGCTGCTAATCCCATCTCATTAACATCTTAGAGGAAGGATTTACAACATATAGGAAAATCTCATCAGATCACAAAATAGTGGACAATCACAACAATACTGGGAATCATGGCCTAGCCAAGTAGACGCACATTTTGGAGTGGACATAACTCAATCTATAACAGTGTCAAAGTTGTGATTTAAACGGGTCAATCTGAGTCCAAGGCTTTTGGTCTTTCCATTGCTTCAAACTGCCTCTCTGAATTGGGTACCTCTTGTTGTATACGGTCTGATTATACTAGATTCTTATAAATTATACAATCAGGTAGGAAGACAAGATGAACTAGTATACACATAATGCAAGTAACATAACACACACAAAGATAAAAATAAATAAGAAGGATATTTGACAGACAAGAAAAATGGCATGGGTAAAATGGCAAGACTTGATCATGGCCATCCTATGGATTTCATAAACTTTGGTTTATGTGGTCTTTGTGTTTCAAACCTATTACAGGAATTATATGAAGATTAAAACCAGTTGCCGCTGAGTCTATTCCAACTCATGGCGACCCCATGTGCGTCAGAGTAGAACTACACTCCAAATGGTTTTCAATGGCTGTGATCTTTTGGAAGTAGAGCACCAGGCCTTTCTTCCAAGGCTCCTCTGGGTAGATTTGAACTGCCAACCTTTTGGTTAGTAGCTGTCTTGGTTGTCTAGTACTGCTATAATAGAAATACCAAAAGTGGATGACTTTAACAAAGAGAAATTTATTTTCTCACAGTCTAGTAAGCTAGAAGTCCAAATTCAGGGCATCAGCTCTAGGGGAAGGCTTTCTCTGTCGGCTCTGGAGGAAGGTCCTTGTCATCAATCTTCCCCTGGTCGAGGAGCTTCTCCATGTAGGAACCCTGAGTCCAAAGGATGAGCTCTGCTCCCGTTGCTGCTTTCTTGGTGGTATGAGGTCCCCTGGTCTCTCTGTTTATCTCCTTTATATTTCAAAAAAGATTGGCTTAAGACACAATCTAATCTTGTAGATCTCATCAATATAACTGCCACTAATCCATCTCATAGTGATAGGATTTACAACACCCAAGAAAAATGGTGGACAATCACACAATACTGGGCATCATGGCCGAGGCAAATTGATACACATATTTTTGGGGGACACAATTCAATTCATGAGAGTAGCTGAGTGCTTATTCATTTACACTACCTGGGAACTCCTATATTAACATTGTTATTGTTGTTGCTGGGTGCCAACAAGTCAGTTCCAACTCATAGCAATCCCATGTGACAGAACAGGATTGCCCCATGGGGTTTTCTTGGCTGTGATCTTTATGGAAGCAAACTGCCAGTTCTTTCTGCTGTGGAGCTGCTGAGTGGGTTTGAACCACCAATCTTTCTGTTAGTAGTCAAGTGCTCAACCCTTGCGCCACCTTGGCTCCTTATACGAAGATTAGAGAACAAATAAAACAAAAACAAGATCGCATCTTTAAAAGTAATGTTTACTTTTTCTGTTTCTAAAATCTAATTCATGCTCATTGTATAAAACTTTTTTGAAAAGGGCAGAAAACTGTTAAGACATTAACAAAACCAAAAAAATCTAAACTGGCTGCTATCAAGCTTATTTTAACACACGGTGACCCCATGTATGCAGAGTAGAACTGCACTCCATAGAGTTTTCAAGGCTGTGATGTTCAGGGCTTTCTTCCGCAGCGCCACTTGGTAGGCTCAAACCGCCAACCTTTCAGTTACTATTCAAGTGCTTAACTGTTTGTGCCACCTAGGGACTCCTAAGACACTCATACCTCTACTTAATGACTACCAAAATTTGCTTCTCATTTTATAAATACATATGTATATACATGCTTTTTAAAACAACGTTTTATAAATACAGTTTTCCTCCATTTCTTTCACTTAATATTGAGTCATGAATATCTTCTCATATCATCAAATATTCTTCAGAAATGCTTTTTAATTATTGCAAGATATCTCATAGCCTAAATGTATTAAGTTATTTAACTATGGTGGCACAGTGGTTAAGCACTCGGCTGCTAACAGAAAGGTTTTGGTTTGAACCCACCAGCTGCTCCACAGGACAAAGGTGTGGCAGTCAGCTTCCATAAATATTTACAGCCCTGGAAACTCCATGGGGGCAGTTCTACTCTGTCTTACAGGGTCGCTGTCGGAATCGACTTGATGGCAACAGGTGGGTATATGTTAGATTATTTTTAGTTCTCTTGCTTTTATAACTAATACTGAGATGAATATCCTTGTATATAAACCATTGGTTCCTATTTCCCTGTAATATCTCATATTTTAGTCAATACTTTCCTTTAAAAACTACAGACATATGTTTAGAAGACTATAAAAACATACTAAACATCTTTCAAACATTTAACATCTACTAAGATAATATTTTGTCATTCATGAGAAATATTTTAAGAAGAAGAATCAGAAAAATCAGTTTTATGATCATACTTTCCCTTTTATGTACGCATGATTCAAATTATTTAGTCAAAAAGAACCGTTAAATATATGTCTATCAATAAATATTTGAAGAATATGTTTAGCTGTATTACAGAAAAGTTTAAGAGTAAATATTATCACTTAATGAGTTTTCCCTCCAAAAGATAAAGGAACTATGCAAACATATTAATTTATGATTTTCAGTAAATCATGAGGGACCAAATTTTATGAAATTACTTCTATAAAACATACTCAAAGTTAAATTACTACGCAAACAACTAAAAACAAATGTATTTCCTGTGACACCATCCTAGCAATTAGCTATAAAAAGCCAAGAAACTTTCAAATTGTTCTAAATTTATATCTGAATTATTAATTTTCAACATACTGTTTAGTTTTCTTTAAAATATGTAATTCTCCTATTTCCCCCCTAAAAAAGAAAAAAAAATTATGGTAGTTTAACATTAACAGAAAAGCAAACATTTGGTATTCAGCTGGAGTATTTATGGTCATCTTAGTTATATTTTCATTATGATGTTTAGTTCTATTTTCCATAGTAATATTTTGAAGATAGGCTATACATCTTAATTATATCACTTATGTAAAATATCAGAATTCTTTCATATATGGAATGAGGTTAAGTGGCTTATAAAGTATGATTATAATCTCAGACTAGTCACAAAATATAATTGTTTCTTAAATCATTTCAATTGATATAAGTGTTAACAGAAGTGGTCTCTAAAATGCCTCTGAATCCTAATATCTTATTATTTGAAATTTCTATTTCCTTATCACACTAAAACAGTGTGAGGAAGAGAGTCAAAGTTACATATATAGAGAGATCATAGATATTGAGAATCATCTGGTCATAACTGCAACATATCTCAGATACGTTAAAAAAACTTCTCCTTGAAAAGACCTGAGTAAAGATATACTCCAAAACATATTTAAGGCAGCCATTTATAACCTTAAAGTTTGGCAACCTTTCAGTTTAAGCTTCTCAGGGAAAATATGATCTCTATCATCATCCACATCATCAGATGAAAATTTATTAATTGCACAAAACAGATTTTTGAATCAAATGTAGGTTTCCACTGGCAATGAATATATGACTATCTTTATACAAAGGAGAAGTATTTCCTCTCAGTGAGCTAAAACAATAAGTCGTATTTGAACTGCTGGTTGAAAGGTAGAGGCACTGGTAATCATTATTTCCCCTTGTTTGTTCAGGCCCTTCCAACAAAACAAACAACCTTTTTGTGATTGGATTGACATGGTGTTAACAATGCATTTAATGCCCAAATCAGTATGAATACAGGTAAAGCTCTCACTAATACCAGTACCAGGATGTTAAAGCCACCTATATTCTAAGCAGCCAAAAAAAAAAAAAAGAGAGAGAGAGAGGGAAAGATCATCCCCTCCCTCGGCAAATAAGCTAGTAGTCACCAAGCCACATCATATAAGAACCTTGTGCGTGATTCTTAAGGCCATATGTTAATACTAATCTATTATACCTGCAGTCTTTTCAGCAATTTTAGCTTCTGTTGCTTTCTCTTGCAGTTCCAGCTTAAGCTTTAGTTTTCTTTGTTCCTTATCTTCTTTAGTCAGTTTTTCTTGAAGCTGAAACACATTGACACATTGAAGAAAATAGAGTTTTACCTGACAAATATCCTGTACAAACATAATGAATTCCAAAGGAAAACTATTTCTTTCCTAAACTGTTATATTTTACGGCCTAAATACATAACTCCCCCAAAAAAGAAAAGTATTTTAAGGTTCTAAGTATTTTATAAAGTAAAAATTATCTGGATTGATAAAGAAATTACAAAAACATTTTAATATGCATTGAATTTCTGTGTGTGTAGGCAACTGAAATTAAGACGAACAATATTATTATTAAAAATAACTACAACAAAGAGCTACCTCATCAATTCTTTTGCTTTAAAGCAAAAGACTTGGAAGAGACTATCCTAATAAAATAATGGACAGCACAGCTTTACATCTTCGCTTAGTGAATTCAATATTTTGAAACAAAGTTAATTAAGATAATAATCTTAATATCTGATATAAATCTTCCTTTGAGAATGCTATTCCATCATATCCCATTTAAATTGGCACTGGCACCTGACTCATAATATCCATGTAATAAATAACTGCTCAATGAAAGAACAGAAAATATCTCATGCTCTCACACAGAATCCCTCCAACTTTTTTTTTTTTAATTCCTCTCTAGGCTTCAGTCATTTGTGTTGTTTTCCATCAGATAGCTCAACATTACTAACATTATGCTTTGGTTTGATTCAGCCAAATAACTAGAGTATTAAAATCAGAAAAAATCAGAAAAGTAAGTAGAGGTTAAAAAAAGAAAAAAAAAAGATATAGTAAATGAACATGAAAGGTAGTTAGGCTCAAACGAATGTATGTAGAAAAAGATCCAGGAAAGGAGATAAAACATGGTATGACAAACCTGAATTGGATTAGACAAAATGAAACAAAATAAGATAACACAAGGTAAAGGACAATAATTACCACCTCTTGCCACTTTAAAATTTAATTACATAATATTACTGAGGTGAAATACACGGTACAGATACTAATAAAAAATAGAAAAAGTGAAGAAGTTAACATGAGATCAATGCATTATATTTTTCATTCCCCATAATTCTGAAAGAAGTATACAGTAAAATGGGAATGAATTTTTTTTTCTTTTTTTGAGGTACCTACCCAAGGCACCATAGATTTATGAAGAAGGAAGTGATATCAGAGGCCATTAAGGCAGGAAACCAAACAGTTTTTCATAGCCAATCCTTCAACTGAACCATACCCGACAGATTAACTGGAAGTGACATAAAGCTACTGTTAAGTCTTAAAAAAAAAACCACCTGATGCCACTGAGTCGATTCCAACTCACAGCGACCCTGTAGCTTAGAGTACACGATCAAACTGAGTTATAAGGGACAAGAAAGCAAATTTAGCAAGTCAACGGCTAAAAGTATACTGTACAATTATCAGACTGTCTACATTTTACCTTTTTATTGCTTGCTCTGAGACTGTCCAATTCTTTTAGAAGAGATGCTATTGTTTTCTCTTTGTTTAAGTCCGAAATAACTTGAGAAGGAATCATACATTCACAATGCAAGTCATTATTTCTATGTTCCATAATGCTGTAAATAGAGAAAATTATTGAACAACATATACATACGATTTCTACTACACAGGATCTATAAATTTTATACTTCAAATGGGAGAAATTTATTTCTCACAATAAATATGGAAAGTTACCTAATCCTAAATTTCTCCTGTTATGTACAGTTAAGAAAATATGGATAAAAAGAAAAAATATATTAATTCCATAGAGAGACACTAATCTATAAACTGAGAGTACTAAGCCTGTGGGAAGCATGTAGTCATGCTATAGAGAGACTCAGGCTTCAGTATACTAAACAAAGAATTTAGGTTTCAGGGGCTGTGAATATTAATTCAATTTCTTTTTATAGTTAGGACTCTAGATATGTTTCTTTTTTTTGATAATGGGAACTGTATTTAGGATCTTTTTCAATTTGCTTGGCACATTATAATATTTTCATTATTAAATCAAAACATTAAAAAAGAAAACCTATTCCTGTAACACCTAAGGGTATATTAAAACAAAAATTGTTTTTGACATTTTGTCTGCTATTTGAGAACCCTATCAGCTTGTTAGCAGGTAGTACGAGGAAAGGTAAGGAAAAGAGGTTGTTTTTTTGAAGGCATTATATCAAATTTGTAGGCGTAGGTTAATTTCAAAGTTACTAAGAATAAATAAAGCAGCAAGGCCTGGGAGAGTCACTGCAGCTCTACCTACCATGTATATCTTCTGTTGCAATCATGCTAGATATTACATAATTTGGCTTTAGCTCAAACTCTATTATTTATTTTTCCAATCTAGTTATAGAATGTTTATGCCCTCTTCATTCATCTCTGCCTCTATCCTACAAAATGTACTCCAAACTACAGTTCAATAAGAACCTAACTAATTGCTAAGAGGTTGGAACATATTAATATACATACTTTAAGATTTTTATACTAATTAAAAATAGATGAAAAAAGAACTGAATAAATTGAAAGTAAATAAAAATAGTTGTTCCTATGCAAAACTCTGTTAAAATAGCATTGTATAAAATACGACTTTGTCTGGACTGAAAATATAATTATATTAATTATTGAAATTTTTAAAATCTGCTATTTTCAAAGCACATGACTAATAATTAAAGTACCTTAATCCCATAGGTAAAAGTCCCAACTGTCACAAATTCAAATCCCTTCATGGGACGGGTAGGTAAGGTAAATGGGTAAAAGCTACAGAACGTAAAATAACAGGGAAGGAAAATAGAAGAGCACCAGGTCTTTCTAAAAGCATTCAAATTAATTTAAAAGAAAAACTGTGCTAACCAAAATTGAAACACATCGTTGGCTTAATTTGTCCTGGGGATGCCAATTTTTAAACTCTGATGAATGATATCACATTTACATCAATCTAGAAGTAATTTGCACATCCATAATGAAAGGTCACGGAAAAGAATATTCAACAAGAAATTAATAAAACCTCATGGCCTTCATTCAAACTCACCTTGTGCTTTCTTACTCACCTATCTAAACTCATTATAGCAATATAATGGAAACAGTAGAAAACCCTGGCAAGTTCCCCAAATTCTAATAAGTTAATGATATGTCAATTCAGCCTACACAAAAAGAAACAAATGCAAACTCTTACTTTCTAAATGTAAGGCTGCTAGCACTTACTTGGATTTTTCACTAGTGCAGGAAGCTGTCTCATCATCTGGATCAGGGCTGATGATCTGAAAATTCCTTGATCTCTGCCCTGGGAGGTCTGTGTCCTCACATGTGGCTTCACTAACTAAGTCGTTGGATTTCTGATGCGCACTTTCCACAGAATTCATAGTCAGTTGCTCATCTGGCTCTGTACTTTCATTTTTCCCTTTCGTCTCTTGTTCAAGACAATTATGTGCTACATCTGTATTTAAAAAGAAAAAAGATACATGAAGCCATAGCTACATATTAAATCACTCAATCAAATTAATATTTTGTGGAAATAAATGCTCTTTATAGCTTTAAACACATACTAGTCCTGCTCCTACTGCAATCAGATAAGCATGTACAGTTGTGGGTTTTGCAATTGATATTACCAATTCCACAGTCAACAGATATTTAAGACAGTGGCTCACAACCTGGGCTACATGTTAGAAAACTTAAGAGAGTTTTAAAAAATCCTGATGCCCAGACTACACCTATCTTAATTAGATAAAAATCTCTGGAAGTGGGATCCAGTCAATAATTTTAAGTTCTCCAGATGATTCCAATATACAACCAAGGTTGGGAACCATTGATTTAGAAGGTTCTTTTCCCCTCTAGATTACTTCTCTTTTCTAGATTTCTCAGAATAGAATACAAACAATAAGTTAATGATTATAGAAGTGATAATGTGCATGGGACTGTCTGGGTTAGAATTCTGACTTTGCCAAGCTATGCTACCTTGGGCAAGTTACTTAACCTATTCATGACTCAGTTGGTTACCTGAAAAATGAGAATAGCACTTACTTCCTTGAGTTGCTGCAAGGACTGGGTTACTGCATGCCAAATTCTTGGCCTAGTATCTGTCACACATGCAAAGTACTTAGTCTAGTGTCTGGCACATCAACAAATGTTAGCTATTATTTTTGTAATCATTACTGTCATATTATAATGGATACAATATAAGGAGAATTATTTCTAACCTTTATTTTATCAGACATGTATTATACAGCAAAGACTCTATTTCAATAATACGTGGTTAGCTCATAAAAATTATTTTAAGCTACCGATAGTAAGTAATAGCCATTTCAGAGGAATACTACATAATTAATGTTATAGTGAAGTTTTTGGGAGAAAATCACAGTCTCACACACACACACGCACACGCACACACACACGCACACACACACGCACACCAAACTCTTGCTGGTATATCAGATCAACAGACATAAATACTAATTTTAACTAGTACTTTATTATTTTCAGCAGAAGTAATTCTTAAACTTTAAAGGGTAGATGAACCTCACCTGGTTGTTGTGGATGGCTTCTCCAACCTGCCAAACAAAATCCTTTTGAGGCAGAATGAAGAAAGTAGTTTTAGAATAAAAGAAATAAAGGGGAAAAAAACCCAAACCCATTGCCGTCAAGTTGATTCCAACTCAGAGGGACCCTACAGGACAGACTAGAACTGCCCCATAGGGTTTCCAAGGACCTCCTGGTGGATTTGTACTGCCAATCTTTTGGTTAGCAGTCATAGCTTTTAACCACTACGCAACCATGGTTTCCAAAGAAATGACACTTCTAAATAAGGAACCTGTCATGGACTGAATTATGTCCCCCAAAAAATATGTGTTATCAATTTGGCTGGCCATGATTCCTGGTATTGTGTGATTTTCCTATGTGTTGTAAATGCTGCCTCTATGATGTTAATGAAGGAGGATGGGCTGCAGTTGTTTTAGTAAGGCAGGACTCAATCTACAAGATTGGATTGCATCCTGAGGCAATCTCTTGAGATATAAAAGAGAGAAGTGAGCAGAGAGACAGGGGAACCTCATACCACTAAGAAAGCAGTGCCAGGAGCAGAGCGCGTCCTTTGGACCCGGGGTCCCTGTGTGAAGAAGCTCCTAGTCCAGGGGAATACTGATGAGAAGGCTGACAGAGAGACAGAGCCTTCCACTGGAGCTGACGCCCTGCGTTTGGACTTTCAGCCAACTTTACTGTGGGGAAATAAATTTCTCTTTGTTAAAGCCATTCACTTGTGGCATTTCTGTCACAGCAGCACTAGATAACTAACACAGTACCTCTCACAAAGTATGCATTCTTTAATGAGAAATTCTTTGGTTGAATATAAGCTGGAACTAGGTGTCCCCAAAACTAAGCCTGATTCTGATTAACAGCAACCCTTAGGACAGAGTAGAACTGTCCCTTAGGGTTCTCAAAGCTGTAAATCATTATGGAAGCGGACTGCCACATCTTTCTCCTGCAGAGCAGCTGGTAGATTTGAACCGCCAACCTTCAGTTAGCAGCCGAGTGCTTAACCACTGCACCACCAGGGGTCCTTGGAATTAAGTATGCCAAAAAAACCCATTGTTGTCGAGTCAATTCCGACTCATAGCGACCCTACAGGACAGAGCAGAACTGCCCCACAGAGTTTCCAAGCAGCAACAGGTGGATTCAAACTTTTGGTTAGCACCCATAGCTTTTAACTACTGAGCCACCAGGGCTCCAGGTATAGGTAAAGTCAGGATTAAACTCCAAGTCCTGGACATTGTTCTTTCTGCTGGCTGGAAGCTACAGTAGAAATCACTTGTTTTTGGTAAATAATTCTTGACTTCATCTTGTGTAAGGGAAAGAGAAAATGTGCTATTAATTATGTACTGAGAGGTATATAAGAACTTTCTACATTCTGTTTTGACTTAATCTTTAACAATTATCGGTACAGAAATATTACTGGTTAGTTCTTGACATTTCAAAACTCTTACTTGGTTTACTTTAGATGTTCACCATGCTATTGTTCCAGAATAGGCTGGTACTAGTAAACAAAACCAAAAAACCAAACCTGTTGCTGTTGAGTCGATTCTTACTTGTAGTGACCCGACAGGACACAGTAGAACTGTCCTATAGGATCTCCAAGGCTGTAAATCTTTAAGAAAGCAGACTGCCACATCTTTCTCCCATGCAGTGGCTGTTGGGTTCAAACTGCTGACCTTCTGGTTAGCAGCTGAGCACTTAACCACTGTGCCACCAGGGCTACTTGTATTAGTAAATAACAAAAAACCCATTGCTGTTGAGTCGATTCTGATTCACAGAGACCCTATAGGACAGAGTAGAACTGCCACACACGGTTTCCAAGGAGCGCCTGGTGGATTCGAACTTATGGTTATCAGCTGAACTCTTAACCACTATACCACCAGGGTTTCCTTATTAGTAAATAGGACCCCCAAAATCTGAATGAGGGAATTCTGTAAGTGAACATGAAGGAGTATCTCTTTATCATTAATAGGCCATGCTTTCTAACACTAACATAATTCAAATAAAAGAAAAGCAATATCAAAACAACAAAAATTACCCCCAGGAACACTGAAAACCATTATCAAGGCCTACACTTGTTTATGAGGTATGGAAGATGTTTCATCTCAGGAAAGGATGATCCATGGAGTACTATCAGCTATAAAAGCCTCCAAGTATCCATAACAACATTACATCAAGTGCTTCAGACTCTTTAACCTGTTTCTGAGACTAAATTTAGCATTATCTATGCTTTCTCCCTTGTTTTTACCTCTATATTTCCCAGTCAAGATCATCTTGCTCCTTTCAGCTTTTTATTCCTAACTCCTGGTGTTTACTTCACCCAATCCCGGACAAATACACTTGCTATCTATTTGTTTTCTAGTTCTCTTTCGTATTTGTTTTTACCTAAAGTCAAATTTTGTGATCCCTTCACTTCTTGGTAAACCATGGCTATTTCACCTACGACTGCTATCTTCTCCAAACTCTTAGAGTAGATGTGGGAGCTTTCCCGTAAGAGGACTGTTTTGCTGATCTCTCCTGGATCTTAGTAATTATAACACCATGAAGTATTATTAAAATAAACCCATCAAGTTCTGACATGCTTCTAAATTCATCATGTTTAATATTTTTAAAGACTGTACTCTGCGTGATTTGGCTCTGATTATATCTGCATGTTTCTAATCTTGCTCTGTAGTTAAAGTTTCTAGATTCCTAATAAAGTGTTCACCATTCTGAGCCTGCTATGCGGACCAGACTATCCATACTCTTGTGTTGAAAATTTAATTTTACTTTAGTGTAAACAAGGCTGATTTACAACAATTTACTTCCTATCTGCCTTTTTATTTTCCAACCAACGAGGACAAATGTTAATCTATCATTTTTTTAAACTATTGTGGCAAATATGATTTCAGCAATTTATTGCTTCAATCCTCTGAATGCTCTCAATGCTTTTCCTCTCTGTCACACTGTGCTATCCTACATCAGAATCCAATCATTTGTACAAAAAGTCTGATCCCTCTAATTAATTATCTTAATATTCATTTATGGAGAATCTACAGTGTGATATGCCCTGTGAAAGAGCCTGGGAATACAATGAGTCTCTCCCTTCAAGGATTCTATAATACAGCAAGGAAGGCAAACACATCTAAGGATTTGAATATAATGTAATAAGGACTATGATAGGGCTATAAAGACCAAATACATAATACAATAGGCAATCTGATGCTCAACTGGAAGACTGAAAAGATTTCACAAAAGCACTTGTTCCAAAAAAGGACAAGCAGAAATATACTAAGTAGTGAATCATCAAATAGTTTGAGTTGGGTGAAGAAGCTGTGGTGGCACAGTGGTTAAGTGCTCAACTGTTAACTGAAAGGTTGGCCGTTTGAACCCACCAGCTGCTCTGTAGAGAAAGATGTGGCAGTCTGCTTCCATAAAGATTATAGCCTTGGAAACCCTGTGGGGCAATTCTACTCTGTCCAACAGGGTCGCTATGAGTTGGAATCGATTCAATGGTGGTCACTTTTGGTTTTGGCTGAGTTGGGTGAAGTAATGAAAAAGCTGAGTATAAGAAGAGAAGAACAGGGAGGAGTACAGAGGAGAAGGAAAAGATTTAAGGACCAAGAGACATTTCTTGTACTAAGATGGCAAGATGTTACAGTTAGAAAGTGCAACTTTCTGAAATGAGCAATAGCTAAAGACAAAGTCCAAGATGTGTCTATCTAGGAATGGGCTGATGAAACAGACTGATGATGAAGGTACTTAGAGTGGAGAAAATCAAGGAATTTGGGTGCTGAAAGTGTTACCCTTGAAGACACTAGAATCATCCAAAAAAAGGGAAGGAAAAGGAGACAAGAAACAAAGCAAAATGCAAAAGGCTTCATTGACTAAAGAAGACAGAAACAGAAATGAGGAAGCGGACAAGAAGTGATA